ACAATGAAATATATTCTATTTGTTTTGGTTATCTTTATTATTCTTTCCATCTTTATTATTTTTGTGAAAATATTTACTGACATATTCGTACTTTGTTTGTGTTTTCCTTTTAATTTACCATAGTATGATCAGTTTTTCATTGATTTTTCGCCATAACTTCATTGGTTTGACTACGATATTGTTGTTGATAATTTTGATATTGGTTATGTTTATATGATTTTTAATTATAATTATAATTATTTATTATTTTTCGAATATTTTCGTTACGAGTTTCACGTTATTTTAGAGGCTTTATCTCATTGTCACAAACGCTTTCACATTTACTATAAAAGTTATAGCAGTTCAATTTGATATAAGAATTAGTTTGTTATAGCTTCATTACACCCTGTCACTGACAGAAACAATATAATACAGCCACATAGTTATTATTACATTTTTTGAACTCACTAATGACGACTGATGAATCAGTTTGTGGACGACTTTTAGTGCTGGTTTTTGTTGTCGATTCAGGTGTTCGAGTGGACAAAGTCGACTGAATGTACGTGGTGCTTTGCGAAAGGAATGGCTCAGTCTTGTTATCCGATCGGATGCATGGAATTTGAGTATGCAGAATTACGGTCTACACTTTCATCAGCTTTATTTTGAAGAAGCGTTTTCATGAATTCTACGCGTTAACCCACTATTCAGCAGACAGCCTCGCCTACGAAATTGCGCACTTCATCTTTTCTATGTGAATCTATTTTTAATTTTTATATTTCCGTGACAGTCATATTTTCATCGGAATTTCCGTGCAGCCTTCAACACTTGCAGCTTCTCACTTGATTAGCCGTTGTGCAACCGGCCTCTACACATATCGTGTTCCTTCGACCACTCAGTCCAGCCTCATGTGATAGTTTCCACTTCACTCAGTCGTCACTTCTGTCCACATGCTTGTTAGTCAAATTACATCAATCTAAAGGAACCCTAGCCTACATATGTTCCTACGTACTTCAGTTCATTTCGTCATAACTTTTCGACACATATTTATAATGATCTATTCAGCTGGCATTCCAGTGTAAGTTTCAATGTTATTAGCACTGATCGGGGATTTTAGGAATATAAGATATTATTCAAGAAAGAGAATATCTGGCACCTGTCTCTTGTACCTTAATACTCCAGCGATGCATCGGAGACACCTATGATCGAAAACCAGTAACCTTCTAATTTATTGTAGTCTAACCGGCCATATTTCACATCCATTAAGTAGGGCGGAGCGAAACACTACGCAGTACACTCGTCCTTCAATTAGCAAACGGATATCTCTCCTGCGCCGTAAATGACGTAGGTCTTCAGAAGCCATTCAAGCCTTTTGCATCTGTGCAGAGACTTCGCCAGTCACCAGGCCATCGGCAGTGATAAGAACCCCTAGATAAGTGATGCGGTCTAGACGTTTTACTACCTTACTCGCTATCACAAGTTCAGGTGCCGATGCAACCCAGTCTTGAAGCAACATTTGGCATTTCAAAGAGGAAAACTGTTACGCCTGCACGTAAACACGTCATTCTGATATGCCTGAACTAATACGAGTTTACCTAGTCGGAAAACGAGAGCAAGGATCGGTGACCCGAAGACACGACATGCTGCTGAAATCCGGTTATCCTAACACCCATACTGAGTAAAAATAAGAAGACTTGATATGAAGTAGAACCTGTATTCTACAAGCAACCAGGAAGTACGAGGTCCGAGTCTAGAAGTGAATCAGGATCCTGGACGAGGGATCCGGTACCGGGTCCTGGACCTGGTCCTGGTCATAAAACGTTACAGATAATGCGTATTTATACATTTTGGTCGATTAGGAAACAGCATCGAAGTCTGTGGCATTGGCAGTTAAGGCGACCAATAAGAAGCAATTTTAAAGTGACGTTGATAGTCAGGACAACTAATAAGAAACAACATTGCAGCACGTGACATTTATATCTAGGACGATCATAAAATTGACCAGTAGGAATAACCCAATGGGAATAGACCAATAATTCCCTTAGGATATTGGATGAATATCCTTAGGGTGATCGGAGGACTCTGCATTTTGTCAGCGTCTTCACCAAGTAGAACATTCATCGGCATATTCTAAGACAATAAGCGAGCCTGCTGGTATAAGGTCTACTCCTGAAAATTCAGAGGAAGATAATGTTGACTCTAAAAGGATGTCTACGACAAAGCTAAACAAGAATGGGGAGAGTGGACAGCTGTGATGATACACCTTTTAATGAAAGAGACTGTCACACAACCTCATGATTAACAGAGTCAAACCGGGACTAAAGATCCAGGAAGACAACTATTGTCGGACGCCCAAGTACGTTTCAGTGTTTCAGGACCTGTCGTAGTGTGAAAATGTGGTATATACAGCGACTTCTGGGTCTGAAACCAGCTTGATTTTCTCTAGTCTGCTCTTCGAGGCTGACAATTTAGATACTATATTAGTTAGACTTATTCCCCTGTGATTGTCACAAAATGACTTTTGTCCCTTCTTATAAATCGGGACAGTCAAGGTTTGAGATTAGTCGGATGGGATTACATTCAGCTCCCAGAAGCTACCTCGGATCTCGGTCAATCTAGCTGCTAAAGCTGGACCACCAACTTTAAAAGTATCAGAGGTCGGTCTTTCAGGACACTTTGCTCTTCATCGCATCAGGTTTCTAAAGGCTTTTTCAACTTAATAAAGTGTCGGGGGACGGACCCATCGATCCTATCTCTTGGATGGATGACTGATAATAAGAATAATCATTTTCGAAATAGACTCTTTAACGTTCAGGTCCCTATAACAGGTTTCCTTGACGAGTCTGAATAGTTGCTCACTGTTGCCTATCGCCGTTGACTTTTCCACCTACCTTGCTTTTATCAACCATCACTGTTATTGATCAGCGCGAGGTCTTTTTATCAGCCTGCTTCGAAGATGACTTTGCTCTTCATCATTTTCAGAGCCAGGTGATATACATTTTCGTGTATCCATCAGTTCAGTAGATGCAACTAAAATCCGAGGCTTCTCCCTAACGTTATGGTTTACCTTACTAGCAGATATCACCATTTATACAGCCTTTTTGATACCATACCAAGCTGCCTCGGGGTGGACATTACTTACTACATGGCTACCTAACTGCCTTTCTAGTTGTTTTCGAAATACATTCTCACCTTTATTATCATTAAGTACAGCCCTAAGAGGTTTCCTCGTGATATTTTTCTTGCGTTCAGTAAGGCAAAAACAAATACGCGCTCTCACTGGGGAATGGTCTGAGTCTAAACAAGTGCTTCAGAATAAGCGGCAGTCTTCAGCGTAACCTCTCTACCGATGTCTTATGGCAACGTGATGTAGTTGCGTAGATCGATGGGTCATATTTGAGGGTCGCCAGGTCAAAAGGTGTTTTTCCTCATGCGTACATTTAGTGTTAATAAGAGACTTTTATCTGAGCATAGTTTCATTTTCTTCAACTTCATTTTGATTACTTTTCAGTTGTGATAAAATGTTTTATTACTTGTAATTTATTTCAGAATCCGTTTCAGTATCAGTATATCCGCTGTTGTTTACTCAAGCTAACGCTTCACTCAAAAATAACTACAGGGTGTTTTTGACAGGCAACTGAGTTGATTTTTACATTTTCTTTGCACTTGTGAGACAAAATGCTTAAATTGCATGTTCCCTATAGCTAACTATTCCCAATGGTTCATACACGAACTGTTAATATACTCTGCAAATCGCAAAGATGTTTAATTTCAATGGAAACTGCAGGATTCGGTAATATCTATTTCAATCCATCATTTACAGTGATCTAACGACCAACAGTTACATGTGGGATGCAGATTTAGTGTAAACTGGTAACTGTCCAGTCGTAGGTGTGCTGTAATTTCCACTCAACACGATATATCCAATAAAATGAAAAACTGACGATTACTAATAGATGTTTGCTTTAAGTGGAAAGAGGTGATAAAAATAGTACTAACTTGCAGTTTCGATATTAGATAATTGTAGATTGGAGTTGTTTAGTTGACTGACACCGGAACTAATAATATCTGTAAAGGATGTTGCATTCAACAGTGCTGCTTCAGGAGACGAGATCTCCACGTTTGCTGTTCCTTGGACACCTTGAGTTACATTTTGGTCTGTGGTCTCAGTTGTGACTATTTGTCTCTTCTGACGAATTATTAAGACGATCGGTGTGAATACAACATTAACACACCTTGCATTATTTGAGAGTGATGACTGTGCAACTTGCAAACCTTGTAAAAGCTAGAAACGTATGTAGAAAACAGACAAAATAACAAATGAACCGGTGTTTGTCGGATTGATTATACAAATGATAGAGAAAGTCTAATCACATTATGCATCAGTAACCGTATATAGCAATAAGTGGTGTGTACTAAGTATGTTGAGTCCACATAGCTTGTCCTAGCTTTTGATCGAATTAGCTAATCTGTTCGTATCGAGTTACTTTCATGTGTTTTTACCATGTCCATTGTCCGCCGGTATCGGGGTTGATTCAACTGGAGCGCATATGTGCATGCTTATGTCGCTTATGCATGCCCAGCTTGTAATTGTCTATCTATGTGAACTGACAATTCAATGAATTGATAAAAGTCCATTTTTTTAAATATTGTCCGACTCTATCACACTCACCAAAGAGCAATACGTTGTTGCCAGGTTGATGTAAGCTGAAGACGATGTATTCGTCAAGTCAGGAGACCAATATTGAGGCGTTCTACCACCATCAGTGTAGAGAACTGACTTCACCTGAAACGTTGAGGCTATAGAAATGCAAACAAAGTGAAGAGGTGATAATATTTCTACAGTGAGGTGTCATTAAATCAAAAGAATACTGAGTTCACAACACTTATTACTAGTAACTGAATAATGTATGAAACCGTTAACTCTGAATTTGAATTAGATTCACCGATCAACTAGATGAAGATTGCTCAGTTCAGAATTGGGATTTAACAACGAGATGTTAATTCATAGGTAATTCGCAGTCTATAGCTCAACTCGCAATTTGAAATTCGCGACTAATTTCCCCATAGTTAATTGTCATGATAGCGAAGCGACCTGTTAAACATACTGAACTGGAAAAATTCAAGTACTTCGTTTTAAATTATTATAAAATTCCATCTCTTCAATTATCGAACAAAATAATCAGAAAATTCATACACACAGAACCAACTACGGCTACAAGATTCTGCATATCACATAATATATTTTAATCTTATTGAACATTGTGGGGCTAATAATGTCTCAAAAAAAATTTGAAGAAATTAATTAAAAAAATTAATATTCCTTACTTATTATTCATGAAGAGAGAAGAAAGAAAAATTATTTTGGTGATTCGGATTCAAAAAAATGAGGCAAGAAAGCAAGCGAAGAGTAAGCAACATGTCACGAAATAATTACAAGAACACAATAGACTAAATATATATCATAAGTTATTAGTGAAAAAAGTGCGGGTGACGACGATTCCTAAAAAGGAGAAGAAGCTGAGAAATGAAAAAACAGTAAACAGTTGAAGAGAGTATAACTCGAAGAAAGGGACAACACAAAATGAAAATCTGCACCAGAATTAAAAAGAACGCACTGGAAACAGACAAAGAAAACTAGATATCGCATGGTGAAAATCAGCAAACGAGTGAAAAAATTACAAAAAAAGGAATCGAAAGAGATTGATAGCGCAGTGTACG